CTGAAGTTTTACGTTAATGTTTCAGTAAATTAACGACACATTTGGACGTTCATAGATTAATGGTCACATGACATGCAACTGAACAAATAAAATATTGTTTATTTAACATTTTATATTGATTTATTTTGAATTATTGGACAATGTACTTTGACACGAACTGACAACAAACAGTAGTATTAACATTAACAAAGATTCATAAATACTGTAACAAATGTATTGCTCATTGTTAGTTATTGTGGTAACACTTTAGTATAGGGACCAATTCTCACTATTAACAACTTGCTTATTAGCATGCCTAGTGTTAGTATATTGGCTGTTTATTAGTACTTATAAAGCACATATTTTGTATGACCATATTCTACATCCCTAATCCTGCACAATACCTAAATTTGACAACTACTTTACTAACTATTATTAAGCAGCAAATTAGGAGTTTATGTTAAAGGATTATGTTAAGTCGTAGTTAATGGTCTGTTAATAGCGACAATTGGTCCTTAAAGTGTGGCCGCTATTGTTTGTTAATGCATTAACTAATGGGCCCTTATTGTAAAGTGTTACCGGTATTTTAAAGATTAACTGTGCTAAACTAAACTCAACCTGGCTAAGACAGAACTGCTTGTGGTTTCCACAAACCCATCACTTTATCAAAATTTCACCATCCAGTTAGGCTCATCAACCATAACTCCTTCAAAAACAGCTAGAAACCTTGGAGTTGTGTCTTCTATCAAACCTCTACAATTAATCCAAAATGCCGCTGCAAGATTAATCTTTAATGAGCCGAAAAGAACACGTCACACCTCTGTTCATCAATTTGCACTGGTTACCAGTAGCTGCTCGCATTAAATTCAAGGCAATAATATTTGCCTACAAAACCACCACTGGCTCTGCACCCATTTACCTAAATTAATTACTTCAGAGTTATGTGCCCTCTAGAAGCTTGCGTTCTGCAAGTGAACGGCATATTATTGTGCCATCTCAAAGAGGCACAAAATCACTTTCACTGACTTTTTCATTAACTGTTCCCTCCTGGTGGAATGACTTGCCCAAATCAATCCGAGTCCTTAACCATCTTCAAGAAACGACTAAAAACACATCTGTTCCACCTTTATTTGACCCTCTAACTCTAGCACTTTCTATTCTATTTTAATTCTACTTTATCTATATTTATCTTCTTTTTTTATTTTTTTCTTTAAAAAAAAACAACAAAAAACAAACAAACACTAGCTTTCTATTTTTTCTATTATATCTACTTGTTTTTCTTTATGTGTGTGTGTGTGTGTATAATATTTATATATATATATGTATATATATATATATATGTATGTATGTATATATATATTTATATCTAAATCAGTGATTCTGATAGTGTTTAGGCCAGCAGAGAAGGCTTTGCTGGCCCTGACGGCCCACCACTGATATATATATATATATATATATATATACACCTTGCTACGTGTACTGCGTTAGGCTAACCGACACTTGTCATTTGCACTTATATATTGTTACTCTTCTGTTAGTTTTGACTGCTTTTATTGTCCTCATTTGTAAGTCGCTTTGGATAAAAGCATCTGCTAAATGACTAAATAAATAAAATAAAAAACTGTGAGTGTTACATGATAGCAAAGGTGATCTAAATGTCTTTTAATCAGTTCATTAGTAATAATTTTTAGAAGATGTAGCCTGGTGCCTACATATCTTCTGTATCATCTGACCATATCAAGTTGCTATATGGTTTGTTGTGTGTGTTTTGGCCGGGAGTCTAAAGAGCTCTTGATCAGGGCATTACTACCATTTTAATGTAATTGCAGCTTTCGTGTTGCTGCCTTTAAATCTTCAGTCTCTCATCTCCACATTCCTTCTTTCTGATCACTTTAAAGTGAGAAATTAAGCCTCTGGTGCTCTTTAACTGTCCAACTCTTCTCAGACATACACTTTGATCTTCCATTTGTGCAAAGCACACAGCATTCAGACACTTCTAAATGCAGGAGAGGCTGTAAACAGAGTCTGTGACTGACAGCCAATGAAATTAGACAAGAGCAATAGAGATCCAACATGCTTGATGTTATCTCTGATGTTACATCTCTCTAAATCACTGAACAGTCCTGTACGAATAGAGGAAGAGAGAAAGACATCCGCTTCACAGGCTTCACGCACCCAGATCAAACACCGAATGCCGCCGAACCGTCTCTTAATTAACTTTTCAGAGCTGCCTGGCTAATTACGTCATGCTTTTTAATGTCTTGTACAAACACAGACATATAACACAGGAGTGGCTGTGAGAAATAAAAATAGCAATTTGTTTCTGTTGCTGCAGTGGCTTTAGTCATCTTTGAGTTTCGCCTCGATCAGTTCGCGGTTTCCCATCGCACCCGTTTTGACTTGTCATTGGCACGTTGTAGCAAAGACGTACTGAGAAGAGGCACTTTGGCAGGTGCAGGCTTGTCCGCACATAGTGACAAATGCAACATTCCTGTCACACGAGTCACGCCACCTGCTCGCATTCCAGTGCAGTCAGTGTCTTTCCTTACTGTCTGCAACTCAAGGTACATTCAAAGTGCGTTTCTTTCTCTTTTCTTTTTTATTCTGAGGACATACCAATGCCTTTGTTACGCTTCAGCACACTTTGTATTTTATATTTGAGCATATTTTTAAAATTTTATTATTGTTTTATGGAAACATTGAAATATGCTCATGCTTTTCAATTGATTTTTTATATTTTAATTATATTAATTAATTACTTTTTAATGATTAATTATTAATAATTCGTTTTTAAAATGTTTAAATATAACATACTTTTAAATATAATCTTTATCAAATCCCAAAATGAATATTCATTTTTGCATACTGCACATTGTAATGTTCAGATTCCTAAATGTACTTGTTGTATTTAAAAAAAAAAATTATTATAAAGTTATTTTATTTTTCATTTATTCAAAATTGTGAAGAAATTAACCAGGAAAAAAGAGCAACTTATTATTATGGCCAGAATTTTAATATCAGTTTTGGTGATAACGTGCACCAGTAAATCGTGTGCAATAAGACCAGGAACATTTATTAAGAAAGTCAATTAAAAACATGCTGACTTCAAACTCAAACAGCCCAGTGTAGAAGTGTGTGTGTGTGTTCATCCATAGGATCCTACATAAGCCTGTAATTGTTCTGTTATTGAGGATCACAAGGAAGTGTAATGAAAATATTTTTAATTCTTTAACAGAAGATGTCTGAAAGTTCATTTGCTAATCATTTCTTCAAAAAGAAACTCAAATAGTCTTAACTCTAATTGTTGCGCTTAAAGGCTAAAATTTACACCAGAGCACAAATTCTAATGTCTCTCTGTCTCGGTTTCCCAGGTGTCCTCCTTGACATACAGAAACACTTTGACGTTAGTGACAGCGGAGCAGGCTTGTTGCAAACAGGTAAGTCTCTCATAATCCCATAATTACGTGGTTTTGCAATCATGCAGTGTGCACACACAGACTCTCTGACTTATATCACTGACTTGAGGTGGAAGAGAATACTAAAATCCATTAAGCTCCCTGCAGCCGAAGTGACAGGGTTAACAAAGGAGGAAAAAACTGTGAATGAGGTGCTCCAGCTCCACCTCCCTCCTCTCCAAAGCCAGTGTAATTTACTGTGCTTGAAGCACTTGTTAGGGTTTAACAAAACAGAGGACTGCCACAGTTGTGTGGATTGGATGGAGACCCACGCTGCGCTGTGATCTGTCCATTATTCAACAGTGCAAGGACATTACATACATTTTCCAATATTTCTATTAAAGAAAAAGACCACGTAAAACTCCAGTGAGGTACATGGGAAGCTGTAAATGTTTTTTCTTTTCAGTCTGGTTGTTACAGGAAACTGTAATAGTACTGCAGTGGATGCCCAACACTGTGAGTCCACTCTCCGGTTCCTTTTAATGGGAGGAAAAGACTAGTTTATTCTGGAAAACACACAGAGCTCTTTAGCTTAGAGATGCTTGTGGTCTGTCGCTAAGGTTTATAACGGCTAAAATTAAAAAAATGACTAATAATTGTTCCCTCATTATATGCAGATGACAGTGAAGTGTAACACATTATGACATCATTAAAGGTTATTTGTGGGGGGCTAGGGATCAGTGGATGTATACGGAGGGAGGTGAATGAGAGGGTTCAGTGTTCAAACGGCTGGCTTGTTCTGGGTCAGTTGGGGGTTTTGGAGGCCGTTGGGTTGGGCTTCCTGAACCGGGCTGGGTCCAAATCAAGTGGCTTTTGTGAAGGAGAGTCACTGTGTGGAGGTCCTATTGGAGCAGCCATATGAACACTAGCACACACAAACTGTACTTGTGTATGCAAACAGAGACGCTGCCATACACGGAGGCAAGAATATATACAACAAGCACACATAGGCTCATTGAGCGGTTGCATAGACAGGGATGTCTGCGATTCAGATCCAGCTCAATGTTAATCTATTGCCCCCATTCATTTGGTTTGAAAATATTAGAATAACTGGCCCATGGAGACCTCGGCACATAAACCTTTCAGTATTTAAGAGTGGGATATTTTAATTCTGGGTGAGAAGGGTGAAGTAAATATAAAAATCTACACCTCCTAAAACAGGATAAATCTAATTGGAAAGAAACAATTTTGTGAGGTTCATGCTTAAGATGCTAATTTGCAAATAGGGTGGAGCAAATAAATATAATTTTATTTATATGTATATACTGTATATACTACCATTCAAAAGTTTGGATTTTTTTAAGTGAGACATCAAGCTTAATTCAGCTCAATTATATTATATAACTGACTGTAGAGATGAGTGAGATATACAAAGGAAAACGTTCATTCTGTCAGACCGTAAGAAAGAGTTCTTCTCTGTTTTTGCTTAGCTGACCAATTTAGACTGCAGAAATCGTAGTCACTCACTGAAGAAAATGTGTTTTTGATTAGTCTGTAATTGGAAGCAAATAAACATTGCAATTCTGCTTGGCTAAGGTTAACCATAAAGTGAATGACTGCTTGGAAACTTTCTATAGGTTGATTCTCAGCAGGGAATTGGTACTTTGACAGCATGGCAGCCAATTATTGGTCTATATGCTACAGGAGGGATGCCACCTCTCATGCTGTGAAACTGTCATGAGAGTCACTCTAAACAGGGGTTAAATTGGGACGTTTGAGGTGAGAAACCTCAAAATCTGGCAAGATATGGCCCTACCAAAACAAACAAATAAATGTACAATAGGGGCTTTTAGTTTTTTTTTTCTAAATCTGGACTGGAGCAGGGAAGAGATGGAATGGAGTGAAGAACAATTTTTTCCCAGCACATGGGTTGCCATCAAGACATTACTGGTAGAGATTTCTTATTCTCTTTTAGCAGGCTTTTTTGTTATAGACATAAAAATATGATAGTCTTTGCGCTAAAAAAATCGAGCTTTAACAAAATATCAAAGCAAACCACATCCTGAACCACATCCTATGCCACCTAGAAAAATGTGAGCAGGGAAAAATCCCTTTGTTAAGCAGTGCATGGGGTCTGTGTTTACAGAGTGTAGAGAAAGTGTCTGCGGCAGGTTTAGTTTGGCCTCTGATCCCAGTCTGACCTCAGTCTTCACACAAGGCAACGAAATTTCAGATGCTCTGGCCATTGGCTGAGAACCTCAGTGTGAAAAGTTGGTTGAAGGGATGGCGTGCGATCAACTGGAGTGTGTCCTATTGTGACGTACTCTGATTTGTGTGAGTGGCACACAAGTTTTTTTGTTTGTTTTTGCACACACATCTGTTAGTTTGACAGAGCTAGCTTTTCCCAAATCTACAGACTGTGGCAGGATGTCTTAAAGCGCACATGGCATGGAGAGATGTTGAGATTAATGTCTTAAGGAATGTCTTGAGGAATAGCTGACTAAGGCAGTCTACCATAAAACAGGAGGTGAAATATAGTGACAGGTTGGGAGGAGGAAGCTTTTCATAATATAATTAAACTCATAGGCCTTTCTTTGCGAGTCGATCTGTCATGATAGTGTGTCATTGTCATAACAAAAGGAAGTAAACATACAGTAAATTAGTGAATGATGGGCTGTGGGAAAACTAGAGTATCTAGTACCACAGAGATGAGGTCATACCGCAACTTCAACACAGTGTGATTCAGGCCTAATGCATCATTGATTTAATGCGGTGAGTACCAAAACACTCATATTAACAAATCAAGGAGATGAAAGATTCAATTCCTGCAAAAATATTTCACGTATGTAAAATATTGGTTATATGATACATGTCTGGTTTGTGTCCTTCAAGTGATGCCCAGTGTCATATTTCCTGACAAATGCGTGTCTATACTCGATATTGACACACAGACTGCTCTCGTGTAACCTTATGAGGGCAATATTGACTTTATCTGGCTTTACACGATGTATTTTTGCCTGTGGCTGTCATACCTGTCAATCACCTCCTTGTCCACAAAGACAAGGCTTCTAGATCTTATCCCACTCCCAATGCTCTCTCATGCTTTATTTCTTTTAACCAAACCTCTATCAGACTAAGAGATATTAATTTTAGATTAGTGGGAAAGAGTAATTATTGTTGACACAGAAGAAGAATTGACTGTTTGCTAGCCACAACACCTGCAGGCAGTTCTGGACGTCTGCGTGATAGAAAATGGAAATAATGAAGATGGAATGAGGAAAGAAGAGAGGGTTAACTCGGATGTTATTACTGTCCCGAGGGCCTCCTCCTTGCTCTTTTGTTTAGTAGGTGACATCGGCATTTTAAGGATGGGTGTGGGGAATCTGGATGGCCTCTCTGCGAAATATTTGCTGAAGATGGATAGATGAGGATGAACTTTAGACAGCCGAATGCTAAAATTTCCTGTGGTCTAAGCATCAGTTTACTAGGTGGTCTTGAGTCATATGCAACCTAAAACCGAGACTGATTTTTAATCCTAAAAAGGTTTGTGATTGTTTTGACAGAAATAATTAGTAACTAAATAATTTTTTTGATTTACACAAAAAAAAAATGTGCTTGCTTGTCAGTGCAAAATATGCCACCACAATGATCATGTGATTGGACTGGTTGGCAGGTCATTGCTATGCATTTGCTAAAGGGGTTCAAAGTAGGGGGAGATGCAAATGTACCGTTTATAAAAAATTGTGAGTTAAATACTATAAATAATTGTCAGGTTTGCTGTGCTTGTTTGTAGGGTGCACAATTTGGCCAAATATTTTGTGATTACATATCAATATAACTGTAAAATACTACTACTACTACTACTATTACTAATACTAATTAAATAAATTATGTAAGGAATAATTGACGACGGGCCGTTGAATTATTAGAAAAATGATGCACACCCGAGGTGGTGATGTTATTGTGAGTAGGATTATTTCTTCTGCATCTCATCCAACGCCTCTTTTTTTGTGCAAACTGCGTGACCATAGTGTGCGTGTGCGAGCACGTGCGATTGCAGTAATTCCTGTGTGCTGTATAGGTACTGTATGCTAATTTCCGTTTTTACAGTTAACTATGCAAAGTGATATGGAACTGTAATGCGGTCAAGAGAGCTGCCTGGAACTATATTCGCCGTGCGTTTCCCTGAAAATAATCGCACACCTCAGAACGTTCATCAGCCAATCAGATTCAAGCATTCAACGGCCCCGTTTTAGCTGACAGCAGCAGGTTTATGATTTATCATAGCAAATTTGGGAAGATGGTTGGTGCATGTTGTGCACTGACATATCATGATTTTGGCTTTTTTTTATTTATTTTTTATTATGCATCCCTAGTTCAGAGTAGTTGTTAATGTGTTGTCTACAGACCGAAGTCAAAAAAGCCCACCCCAAATATCAAAGATATGAGTTTTTTCTGTCTGTTCTATTAGAAACGTAATAGCAAACATTTTAAGCTGGTGCATGATTTGAGGTATTATGGTATTTATGTCCATAGCACAAAAGGTGAGGGTTACCTAACTTTAATACTGAAGGTTATAGGTTTTGATTATGAGCTATAGTGACTAATAATAATTTTTATAAGGACGAAAATATGATACGGTATATTTCACTTTTCTGACGACACCGTAGAGACTCTAATTAGACTGTATTGCTCTAAAGGTCAAGAGGTCAGTGCCATCTGGTCAAAGATGGCAGCTCTTGTCTGCATGTGAGGTGTGTGTCTACCGCGGCCTCCTATCCCATCTGTCAAGGCAGGAGCGGACGCTGCTTTTGAATCCTGACACGACTCCGCTGAGTCCATGTCTTCGTCTAGCCGCTCCGTCTAGGGCATGTGTTGTATATAGCTGCAGTCAGTCTGTGGCCAGTGAATGACTGTAGCCCAGGTGCTTGACTACATCCACCCAGACAAAGAATGCACTATATTGAGAAGAAATTTCTGTGTGGATCGTGACCGTCAGGATATTGGCTTACATAGCCATGAGCCATTAAAATACATTATTT